CAGCGCATCGCGTCCCACTTCCTCCTCCTCCTCCCTCCTCCATGCGTGTCACCCACCCAGTACAGCGCTTCGTGGCCCCATACCCGCCCAGTGTAGTGTTTCTTGGCCCCATGGGGACTTCCGCCGACGGCCCCATGAGCGCAGCCCGCATGCGTCTCCCACACCTGGTACAGCGCTTCGTGGCCCCATAAGGAGCTCCACCTAAGGTCCCAGTGGCGCAGCCCGCATGCGTCTCCCACACCCAGCACAGCGCTTCGTGGCCCCGTGGGGAGCTCCACCGACGGTCCCAGCTTCGCAGCCCGCGTGCGTCTCCCCCACCCAGCACACCGCCTCGTGGCCCCATAGGAAGCTCCACCGAAGGTCCCAGTGGCGCAGCCTGCATGCGCTCTCACACCCAGTACAGCGTTTCGTGGCCACGTGGGGAGCTCCACCGGAGGTCCTGATTGCGCAGCCCGCGTGCTTCTCCCCCACCCAGTACAACGTTTCGTGGCCCCATAGGGCGCGCATGCATCTCCCCAGCCCAGAGCAGCGCTTCCCCAGTGGCGCAGCCCGCATGTGCCTCCCCCCCACCCAGTACAGCGCTTCGTGGCGATATGCGGAGCTCGACCAAAGGTCTCAGTGGCGCAGTCCGCATGCGTCTCCCCCATTCAGTAAAGCGTTTCGTGATCCATAGTTCGCTCCACCGAAGGTACCAACTGCGTAGCCCGCATGCGTCCCCCCAACCAGTAGAGCGTTTCGTTGCTCTTTAGGAAGCTCCACCATGGGTCCCAGTGGCGCAGCCATGCGTTTCCCACGCCCAGTACAGCGCTTCGTGGCCCCATAGGGAGCTCAACCGAATGCCCAGGTGGCGCAACCCGCATGCGTCTCCCCCACCTAGTGCAGCGCTTCGTGGCCCCATAGGGAACTCCACCGAAGGTCCCAGCACCCAGTGCAGCGTTTCGTGGCCAATAAGGATCTCCACAGAAAGCCCCAGTGGCGCAGCCCGCGTGCGTCTCCCCCCGCAATACAGCTCTTCGTGGCCCCGTGGGGACTTCCGCCGACGGTCCCGGGGGGTGTAGCCCGCATGCGCCTCTCACACTCAGTACAGCGCTTCGTGGCCCCATAGGGAGCTCCACCTAAGGTCCCAGCTTCGCAGACCGCGTGCGTCTCCCACACCTGGTACAGCGCTTCGTGGCCCCATAGGAGCTCCACCGAAGGTCTCAGTGGCGCAGCCCGCAGGCGTCCCCCCCACCCAGTACAGCGTTTCGTGGCCCCGTAGGGAGCTCCACAGACGGCCCCACGGGCGCAACTCGCATGCGTCTCCCCCACCGAGTACAACGTTTCGTGGCCCCGTAGGGAGCTCCACTAACGGTCCCAGGGGCGCAGCCCGCATGCGCCTCCCACACTCAGTACAGCGCTTCGTGGCCCCATAGGGAGCTCCACCGAAGGTCCCGGCGTCGCAGCCCGCATGCATCCCCCCGCCCAGTACAGCGCTTCGTGGCCACGTAGGGAGCTCCACCGAGGGTCCCAGTGGCGCAGTCCGCATTCGTATGCCCCGCCCGGAGCAGCGCTTCGTGGCCCTATGCGGGGGCTTCGCCGAAAACGATACCCACAACGGCGGTATTCACAATTGCGTATGGTTGGATCTTTCGCCAGGCTTTTTTTGTCATCCAACCATCATTTGGTGTTGGGTCCTATTTTTGAAGAAGCGGCGCCCTGCGTTCCGCCTCTCCTCTCCTCTTCCTCTCCTCTCCTCTCTCCTCCTCCTCCTCCTCCTCCTCCTCCTCCTCCTCCTCCTCCTCCTCCTCCTCCTCCTCCTCCCCCCTCCCTTTTCCGCAGTTCGCATGCGTTTTCCACAGCCAGTACAGCGCTTCGTGGTCCCATAGGGAGCTCCACCGAAAGTCCCGGTGGCGCAGCCCGCATGCGTCTCCATACCCACTACAGCGTTTCGTGGCCCCATTGGAAGCTCCACCGAAGGTCCCAGTGGCGCAGCCGCATGCGCGCATGCGTACCCCCCACCCTGTATAGCGCTTCGCGGCCCCATAGGGAGCTGCGACGAAAGTCCCAGTGGCGCAACCCGCATGTGTCTCCCACGCCCAGTACACCGCTTCGTAGCCCCATAGGGAGCTCCACCTAAGGTCCCAGTGGCGCAGCCCGCATGCGTTTTTATACCCAGCACAACGCTTCGTGGCCCCGTAGGGGGTCCACCGGAGGTTCCAGTGGCGCAGCCCGCATGCGTCTGCTCCATAGGGAATTCCACCATGGGTCCCAGTGGCGCAGCCCGCATGCGTCTCCAATTCCCAGTACCGCGCTTCGTGGTCCCATAGGGCCCATAGGGAGTTCCACCGAAGGCCCCAGTTCCGCAGCCCGCATGCGTCTCCCCCACCCAGCACAGCGATTCGTGGCCCCATATGGAGTTCCACCGAAGGTTCTAGTAGCGCAGTACGCATGCGTCTCCCCCACCCAGTACAGCGCTTCGTGGCCCTACAAGTGGGCCCCACCGAAGACGATACCTACAACTGGGGTGTTCACAACTGCATAAGGCTGGGTCCCTCGCCAGGTTAATTGTAAGGCATATCTATATATGTCTAAGTATATGTATGCCTGTCTGTCTGTGTGTGTGTCTGTTTGTATGTAGTATGTGTGCATGTATGTTTGTATGTATGTATGCATGTGTATCTATGTGTACATATATATATATATATATATATGTATACTCACAGATGTCAACACGGTGTGGCAGAAGTATGTGTAAATTGAATCAGGGGTGGTGGATCGACATTTCCCCAAAGCTGCTTGCACTTACGGGTTATCGCTTCTGCTCCAAGGAATTGGGCTGGTTGGCCAGTCTGGCGAATATGTCGTCGCCGTCGTCGCCCCGTCGCCGCATTTTCGCCGCCCGTCGTTTGGACCTGTTGGCCGGTCTGGCGGCTATGTCGTCGCCGTCGCCGCCCCGTCGCCGCTTCGTCGCCGCCCGTCGCCGCCGCTGGATTGCACCACGTAGATTGCGCACGAAAGATTTGCGCCTGTGGCGCGCTGTTTGATCGTTCTTATCTTAGGGCGCACCGAGTATATTGCACAACGTAGTTTGCTTCACATATATTGCAGACCCACATATATGTGTGTATATTGCACCCTATTCCCAGAACAGTGTTTGCACTTTGAGGTTTATTTGTCTGGTATAGCGAAGTGGGCTGGTTGGCAAGTCTGGCGGCTATGTCGCCGTCGCCGCCTCGTCGTCTCCCGTCGCCTTGGTTTGAGCGTCGGCTGGCGGTTCCGTGCCAGCCGTCGCCGCCCCGTCGCCGCTTCGTCGCCGCCTGTCGCCGTTGTTGCACTGTCGCCGTCGCGTTGCACCAAATGTATTGCACCACGTAGATTTCACAACGTAGATCGCACAACATGTTCTGCCAGAAACATGATTACGGGTGGTGCCAATGCTGGCTAACAAGTGTCCTTCGTAAGGAGAGTCTCTGTGGTGCATTCAACTTGCGCAATTCATTATTGTTCGCAGTGAGTTGTCAATTGCACTGCCCCCCGCAATCATCCCACCCCACTCTCCCGCAACTTTGTTTCAAAACCGATGCGGCGGCGATTGCGGTGACTGCTTGGCGCTGGCTGGCGCCTCGTTTCGGCCGCGCTAGCGCGCGCAGGCTCACGCGCAGAGCTGCCGGCTGGTCTGGCGACCGAGGCGGCCGCGTGGGCGCTGACCGCCGGGGAGTCCCCAGCGCGTCTCGCAGGCCGCGCTATCGCGCGTGCACTGCAGTGCGAGTCGGTGATTCGGGTGGGCGCGGTATCATGGCGGCGTCGACAACGGCATACCCGATGAACGATGTTGGCGACGATGGTGACGATAACGACGGTGAAGCCAATAACGGTGCCGATGCTGATCACGCTGATGACGGTCATGGTGTCGACGTGTCGGTGATGAATTTTTTGAAAATGAAATCGACATGCGTGCGCGACCGACAGGCGCGAGTGACCCGCATGGCATTATTTGACGAAGATCGTGCCCCCCCCGCAAGCGCGCAATGGCGACGACTGACCTCGACACGCGCGCACGCGAGGCCCGCTTGGTCGCATTTGTTGAGCAAGTGGTTTTGCATTGTCTCCTTACCAGAAAAAAGAGTTTTCGTTCGAACTTGCCAGAGCGCGCGCGCGGACCTTGTTCAAGACATCGCGTTGCAAAACCAATGGTTAGTGTTTCTCTGTTTTCGAGAACCTCGGTTTTGATACATTTGCGACATGTGTTTGAAGGATTCCGGCAGCGCGTATGATATTTGTCAAATGTGTTACAACGGGTTCGCGCGAATGTAATGATAAACAAGTGCGCGTGCATAGTGTGTGCTGTCAGGGATGGGGTGGCGGTACATAGCTGCCAGACCGCCATTCAGGGCCAGTTCCGTCAAACAGAAGTAATATCCTTAAGTGCAAGCACAGTTGTAGGACCCATCGCGAATATTCTAGACATGATTGTCTTCACCACGGTTTGGAGCAACTTGTGCTTTTGAGGACCCTCTTGGGGGTCTTTTTGAGGCCCTCTTGGGCTGTCTTCGCAGCCATACCGGACCGTCTTGAAACCATGTTAATTTTTGAAGACCCTCGCCGTGTCAGGCCCAACTTGAGCCAGCTTAGATGGCATCTTGTGCATCTTGGAGGCCATGGGAAGTAGATTTGAACGCTCCGGAGACCCTGGGGGTGCGTTGGCGAGCTTTGTTCCCTTCTTTAATGCGATTTGGGACCCCAGGGGAGAGGGAATCGAGGAGGGGGACAGCCAATCATCTCACACGCAGTTGCACCCCCGGAAAGCGGGGATCGGCGGATTCCAAAGTTCCTCGCGTAGTTGGAGAGGCCCCCAGGGAACTAGGGGGGGGCCCTCGAGGGAGACGCCGGGTGGAATTAGTGCATGTGTCCTCGGGTGCATTTGCACAGAAACAGTTTTAGATGTCTTTTGTGCAACACCGTCAACGGTAGCAAGCATTAAATACCGCGCATGCGTGTATTTACCCCGTTCGTCCGTACCCATTTTGGTCAAAGGCGTTTGTACGCCCCACGCCAGGTGGTTACCTCCTCGGCCCTTGCTATTTTTGGGCCAGGACTTCGTCCTACAGGGGGGGGCGAAATAGTTTCAGAGTTTCGCAGCCGTGGTATGGACAGTTCCACGTCATGGAGCGTTTGGTCGCCAGCGCCCGACGGTGCAGGCTTAGGCCCGCACGGAGACCCTTACCCTGATAACAAGAATGACACCAAGCGTGGTGTCTGCATGGCAGCGCTGGGCTCCGATGGCGGCTTCGACGTGACGTCTTCGGGCTTTTCTGGAAACCCTTACCCAGACAGCAAGAATGACACCAAGCGTGGTGTCTGCATGGCCCCGCTCGGCTCCGATGGCGGCTTCGACGCGGCGTCTTCGGGATTTTCTGGAAACCCTTACCCAGATCACAATAATAATACCAAGTCGTTCTTTTTCGTGGAGCCCGACTCCCTTTTGGATGGCGGGCTTGGCACTGGGGGCGTAACCAGGGGTGTCAAGTTGAGCGGCTTCGGGGGCGCGGAACCACACGAAGGCTTCAGCAGCTGGTTGGCGAAGGAGCCAGGCGAAGGCTTCATGGGGAAAGGCAGTTACCCAAACTTCACGGACGCGCCGGGCACCTACGGCCACGAGGCGCAGATCCCTTTGCCGCACAGCTTCGAGCAGACCCATGCCACGCAACCTTGCCCCGAGAAGGTGTCGCACAAGTCCATGCCGTTTCTATTCAATCATTACTCTGGAATCTTCACCAATAACGACAACCCTCTGCCCGCGCCGACCGGAAAGTATTCTGGACTGTCCTCCACGGTGCACAAGGTCAAGACAGACGAGCCAGCCCGTGTAGGCAACAGTTTGTTGAAGTTCATGTCTGAGTATTTACCATCCCAGTCAGTCTTTGCTGAGTTGCTGAAGCCTATCCCGTCCAAGGAGCACAAGACAAAGTACAGCATGAAGCTGCTCACGTTTGTGCAGAGCAACTGGTGCCAACTGAAAGTCAAAATGTACGAGGCGGCGGAGGATGTGTACTTGATCGAATTCCAGCGTCGCTCTGGGGACTCGCTGGCCTTCAACAGTGTCTACCGGCTCGCCGAAAAGTATCTCCTGGATCATGGTTTCCCTCTTGAGGGTAGTGGCAGCAGGGGCGGCGGGCGTGGCTTGTGCCGCTTCGTTCCTCCCAGCGTGCCCCTGCAGCTAATGGAGGACGAGGAAGTGCCCTGGGTTGAGCCAGAGTGCATGTTAGGGCCTGTGTTCGATCTGTCGAGGTCCAAGTGTGCGAGGTATCAAGCGGAAGGTGCGACCGCCATAGCGGAGATGGCCAAAGCCGCCGAAGAGAAGCCGAAGCAGAAGTTCCCATGGTCCGAGGAGCTGAAGGACGTGATGTACAAGCTGCTCGAGGTCCAGGAGACTATCGTGGCCTTTCCGGCGGTCAAGGCCTTACACAGCCTCGCGAAGGTGCACCCAGAGGCCAGGAAGGTGGCGGCGGAGAAGAGGGTGGCGGCGGCGCTGGAGCACTCGCGCAGCAGCCTGGTCATGGGGAACGACACTCGTCGTCGCCGTGGTCGTCGTCGTCGTCGTCGTCGTCGTCGTCGAGGTCGTCGTCGTCGTCGTGGTCGCCGTCGTCGCCGATGTGGTCGAGGGGGAGCCACGGCAGCCTGGACGGCGGCCAGCCGGCCAATCCGCGAGCAGGCCACCAAAACACGAAGGCATCCCCTGCGGCCCCGAGTGTGGAGCCCCAGTTTCTCTACGACAAACCCTCAGACAGGAACGCGCACGATTCGTAACTGCGGAGCGCGGCACGGCACGCTGAAAATGTTGTGCCTCACACTGCGGCCAGATCTGATGGCTCCGACTGCGAGCAGGCCACCCGAAGCACGAAGACACTCCCTGCGGCCCCCAGGGTGGAGCCCCACGGGGGAGGCCCACGCTGGTGGGCGGTGGGCGCCCTGCCACCTTGTCGGAGAACCGACATACATAACCACAAATGTGAGTTCTCGGGGGGGCCCTCGGGGTGGGCCGATGTCAGGAGCGAAAGCTGGACGTACACGTACACGAATCCACGTTGGTTTCGGAAGTACGTATTGCGCGAGCGTTCGTATCACGAGGCTGGTCTCGCTGACTGGGGGACCGTGTTCATATACGCGGTTGGGCGCGTACGTCTTTCGTGGGCTCCATATGGTAGGCGCATAAGAGCCCTCGAGGCACAACAAACCGGTGGAAACAAACTTTCGGAACTTCGCGCGGATTTCTTGGATCGGCGTTGGGCCCCCCTGGCGGCGCCTCCCGCGCCGGCCCTAGCGCGCCACACGCGCTATCCGCGCGGATTTCAGAGAAATCAGGGTATGCGTCTCGTAAACCTCTACAGTCATCACGCTGAAATATGGACAGCTTTGGGTTCGGAAGGGACACGCTTTTCCTCAGGTCCTTCCGTGGTTGTCCCTCCGGCCCTCTTCGTGCGCCCCGGCGCTCGTGGTGCCCAAAACGGGACTTCGTATTGTGTTGTGTTGTTACTTATTTCAGCAGCCCGACTGTACCTATCCTCCCGCTCCCCTCGCAGAGGTCCGCGGGGAGGCCGCGCAGTTGCGCGAGCTCATTGCGGCGCACTGCGGCTGACCGCGCGGCCGCGGTCCGCCCCCGCGCGGAGGTTTCTTGTTGACGCCTGCGCGTGGGCCACCTCGTGGGATCGGAGCGCCCCGCCCGTCCGGGGCGTGAAGGAGGAGGAGGAGGATGAGGCAGGGGGAGGAGAAGGAGGAGGAGGAGGAGAAGGAGGAGGTGGAGGAGGAAGAGGAGGAGGAGGAGGAGGCAGGGGGGAGAGGAGGAGGGAGGAGGGAGGAGCCAGGGGTACGAGGCACGGGGCGTAGGAGGAGGAGGAGGAGGAGGAGGAGAAGCAGCAGGAGGCAGAGGAGGAGGAGAGGAGGAGGAGGAGGAGGAGGAGGACGAGGAGGCAGGGGAAGGGGCAGGGGGAGGAGGCAGGGGGAGAAGGAAGGGGGAGGAGGAAGGGGGAGGAGGAAGGAGGAGGAGGAGGAGGAAGAGGAGGAAAAGGAAAAGGAGGAGGAGGGGGAGGAGGAGGAGGAGGAGGAGGAGGAGGAGGAGGGGGAGGAAGGGGAAGACAGAAAGGGGGAGGACGAGGAGGTGAGGAGGAGGAGGAGGAGAAGGAGGAGGAGGGACAGAAGACGAGGAGGAGGAGGAGGAGGAGGAGAAGGAGGAGGGGCAGGAGGCAGGAAAGGACAGGGATTTTTTCACTGTGTGCGAACGCCAAGCAAAACTCTGCAAGCAGGTTAAAACTTCGCGGCATGAAAAATGAGGCTAACTGCATAAATCTGCCTAACCAGCGTGCGCCTGCAGGGCCGATACGACCGGCAGGAGCCTTGTAGCCTCTACCGGGACCAACCGCGACGCTGCACTCAAAACGGGTGCCACTAGCCACGGCTCTTCCCGCAGCTGTCTAATTACCTCATCTCCGTCGGAAAAGCGGCTGAGCAACTCGAGGTCAGAGACCGAGAGCGCCTTCGCACCCTCGGCAAAACTCGAGCCGGAACAATGTTGCCCAGAAAAAGCCGAAATTTCCACCTCACCCGAAAGAGCGCTCATAGCCATCTGATCGGAGGGCGCCTCAACCGAAGGAGGCAGCTCCAAACCAGCGTCAACGGACACTCCTGGCCAAGCCTCGGAAAGAGGCTCAGCCAAAATGGCAGCTGAAAGGCGAACCTCATCAGACGGAGGCTCAGCCAAAAAGGAATCCACAAGAGTAGGGCGAGCCTCAACAGTTGGAGGCTCAGCCAAACCAGCACTTGAGGAGACCACTGAGGGAGATATTGCAGAAGCGGCTTCAGCGACAGACGAGCGAGCCTCATCAGAGGGAGGCTCAGCCAAGAATGCTTTTGAAACCACATCTTCATGCACAGCAGCGGCTTCAGCGACAGACGAGCGAGCCTCATCAGAGAGAGGCTCAGCCAAGAATGCGTTTGAACCCACACCATATTTCTCCCTCTTCTTGTGTTTTCTTTTACGGCGCACGCGATCGCCGATGAAGAAATTCAAGGCCTTGGCGTCCTCCTCGGCGGGGTGCGGGGAATGCGGACCGGTGGAGGCGGCGGCGGCAGCACCTGCACCACAGAGCTGGTCGGTGCAGCACTTGCTGGCGGGGGTGCTGGCGGCCACTCCTTCAAGCCCGCCTTGGCCTCCTCCGAGCGGACATCCTTGTTCTTCTTCTTGTGCTTGCGCTTCCGAGGGCGCTTGGCCTCTGCCACCGCTGGAGCCGGAGGCGGCGTCGGGATCTTCAGGCAAGCCCTCGGAGCGTCCTGAGACTCCGGAGGAAGCGAGAACGAGAATACCTCCTTCGCTACCGGCGGTGTCGGGGACCTCGTACTGGCACCGTCGCACTTCTCCTTCAAAGCCGGGGCCACAGGCGGAGCCGACGCCTCCTTCTGGTTGACCTGCAAACGGTCCCATCTCCTCAGGCGTTTTACTGGCTGCACCTCCTCCTCCTCCGGCTTCAGCGGCAGGGAATCCTGCCCCGGAATCTGCATGCCCTTGCTGAACTCCATGCCCACCACATCGACCGTGTTCCAAATCCCTGGCGGCGGCGACGGGGGGGCAGCCGTAGACAGAGCCTCCTGCGAAAACGACGATCTCGAGCTCATCGTTGGAAACTCCGAAGCACTGAGTGAAAGCACTAATACGGTGTCCTAGTGAGGTGCCCAGCAAATCATCCGGCACAAAAAAGCGCATGGACGGGGCCTTGAGCCTGGGTGGCTTGAGCCAGGAGGAGGAAAGGACAAGGAGGAGGCGGAGGAGGAGGAGGAGGAGGAGAAGGAGGAGGAGGAACGAGGAGGCGGAGGAGGAGAGAGTGAGGGCCAGGGGGGGCGGAGGGGGGAGGGAGGGCGGCTTCTGGGCGGCAGTGGGGGGGGGGCATGCCGCCCTCCTGAGGGCACGGGGCTCGAGAGGACCGCCAGAGGTTTGGCATCGCTCGGATGCGTGCGTGTTTATTCATTCATATGTGCATATATATATATATATATATATATATATATATATATAATATGTATGGTACCGAATCGTGCGTGTGGAACCGAATCATGCACGGGGAATGGGCGTCCGAGCGATTGCAGGGAGGGGCTCAGAGGGCCCACTCTCGTTCCAGCTCTGTTTCGCTCCTCCGTTTTCTCATTAGTCTCCATTCTTTTTCTCTTGGGCAAACTCTGAGCGAAGCTCATGGCGTCGCCCCTTCTCTCCACTCCCCTTCCTCAACGTTGCTCATCCTGCTCCTCTGCTTCATCCTCTTCTCCTCGTCCTCCTCCCTCCTCCTCCTCGTCCTCCTCCCTCCTCCCTCCTTCCTCCTCCTGTTTCTCCTCCCCCTCTTCCTCCTCCTTCTCCTCCGTCCTTGCATCCTGCTGCAGGGGGCAGTCGATTATGTTTTTTTTGTTGGCGACGTACACATACATTCCTTATGCTGGCGGTGGGAAACGAAACGCCACAAGAAACAACCAAACAAACCAACGAAACTGAGCTGCTGCAGGCTGAAACGCTGGGAAACAATTGGACGTCACACACAAAGCAGGGAATACCTTCCGAAAGAACGCCCTTTCCCTCTCCTCTTCCTCTTCCTCCTCCTTCTCCTCCTCCTTCTCCTCCTCCTTCTCCTCCTCCTCCTCCTCCCCCTCCTCATCCTCCTCGTGTTCCTCCTCTTTCGTTTACCCCTCCTCCCTTCCTCCTCCTCCTCCTCTTCCTTTTGCTGCTCCTCCTCCTCCTCCTCCTACTTCTCCTCCTCCTCGGTTTCCTCCTCCCCCTCATTCAAATAGGATGGGTTGCCGCTGTTTGGTCCGAGCGTTGACGCTTATCTTCGTACCGTATGAAGACTGAATGTAAATATTATTGCGGCCATGCTTTCTCTCATACAGCCTCCAACCCCCGCAAGTATAGTTGGTGGCGGGACTGGGAGCGATCCCAGCTCGTGATGCATAGAACATGCGAAGAGCGCGGTGTGGTCACGCAGTCGCACGTTCCTCCACCATCGCATTGGTACCATTTTCCATTCCCTGAACAGCTTGTGTTGCTGTCCGCCCCGCAAGGCAAGTGGCAATTCGCTTCGGACGTCCAGCCCGACCGCGAGGGCAACAACAGAAGGCGTAACCGCGATGAGGAGCGACTCGCCCACAGGAGCGCCACGAGATTCTTCGACCTATCGCAACCACGCAGGCACTGGCCGCAGCTTCGCGTTGGGCATGATTGCGGTATTCCGCCCTGGGCTAGCGCCGTGCCTCTGCACGTGTGCGATAGTGTTGGCGGTCCTTGTGAGCACATCGCACCACCCGAGTGGGACAACGAAGGTTAACGTACCAGTTTGACCGACTTCGGCTTTGACCAAGGTTGACAACAGCATCACCATGGGTGCCCCGCAGTTCGACATGGCGTTCGTCCCTGCGCAGGCCCGAACCCCAAAGCGCCGACGCAACCATCATCGCGGTGAGCTCTTATCGAGGAGGATATCTATCTCGACGCTCTGAGGCAGCAAGCATCCTTGTGTTATTCGTGGCTGTCCTGTTCTGGCTCACCGGCATGATGCCTGGTGGAGTTGGCCCACCTGGCGTCGGCGGCCGCGGTGCCATCGCATCCCGCCAGCCGCCCTCCTGGTCACCCGAGCGCGAGCCCATGTATACCTTCCGCCAATGGGCGCAGGACTTGATCGCTTGGAGCGCGAAAGGGCCACCGACATGGACAGCGCTCAACAATGCGCCGCCGTTATCCTCAACCTCGGCGGGGCCGCTCGCGAGCTCACGCGCTCCGTGAGTTTCGCGGAGATGTCGGAAGGGGGGCATGGCCAACGGCCAGCAAAAGGACGTCGTGACCTACCTCATCGTGAAACTCGCCACACAGTGCGGCCCACTCGGCGAGAAGTCGCGCTCCCAGGCAACCCGCGAACTCCTCGAGTTCTCGAGGCGACGCAACAACCCACCGACGCGCTGCTCTCGCGGCTTCTCACGCTGCGATTCCGGGCTGGAGGAGCTACAGTTGGCTGCTCCTCCGAGCTTTCGGCGTCACAGCTAGCCAACTCGCGGCGCTGCTCCAGCCACGCGGCAATCATTACCCAGCCACAGGGGCCGAGTTCAACAGTCTCACGACTATGCTCTGGCGCGTGACGCGTGGGTCACGCCGTGGAGCATGCGCCAAACGACATTGCCAGCGCCCTCCGCGCGCCGCCATCGTTCGGAGGGTTCGCGGGCATGACCATTGACAACCGCAATGACGCACATGGCCCCCGGCACACTCAACGTCTCAACTTGTGGGCTGCCGGCGCCGTCGATCTTCCTAGGACAGGAGGTGCCGTGACCTTCGCTACAGGCCCGTCGCAGAGCGCCGCGCTATCACAGGCAGCCTATCCGGCTGCCGCGCGGGCGCCCGCGCGCGGGGCACGCGCCTCATCGCGATTCTCCCAGCGCGCGATTGTCTCCGAGGCTGCCTGCCGAGGATGGACGATCGATGCGTTGGTCCCCATGAAGGCCCCCCTGAAAGTCATCAGCAACAAAGAACTTGCGGACGCAACATGTGAGGAGCGCGCGAGGTTAGCTTCGAGCTCTTACCAGACGCCATCTCAGCCCTTTAGCGAAGGAGCGGGCCAGAACGGCTTCGACCCGGCATTTGAAGTTCCTCACGTGGAGAAATTCAGGCACTGGGTGCAAAGCTGCCCCGGGTCTTGGTCCATCCACTCGCTGAGATCACCGATCAAATGCAT